GCAGCCCCTGAAACAAAGCTGTGTTGGCAACTAGACATTCTGTGGCCTGGGAAGCCAAATGCAGGAGGACCTTACAGAGTTCCTAGCAGCTGAATGAATGTCCTTTACAGACCTGGTGGTGCAGTGGTTAGAATGCAATACTGCAGGCTACTTCTGCTGACTGCCGGCTGCCAGCAGTCTGGCAATTCAATTTCACCTGTAAAACATCCCAAAGCAGAGACAAATAATTGATTACATTAAAGCAAATGCAGTAAGACTTACGATAAGCAATAGTCCTGATCTCCAGGAGCCAAGAGATGGGCAAGGAAGTGGTTGGAGATTAGAATTTCCCATTCACATTCTAGTTTGCAGATCACAGTATAATTCTGGACCTGCCAACCTTCATAAACTTGATTTCAAAATCCAGTAGCAGGAAAGACGGGGAAATCAAAAGTAAAAATAGATAATTCATTCTGTTGGTTTGAGTTCCTTGGGCAAATCCTCTTGAAAATGGATTGCAAACTAGCAACTCTTCTGAGATGTTTAAATATGCCTTTGGACCACATGGCAAAAGAAATTAGATAGGATCAGGAAGTCAAGCCACCCTTGTACTGTCATTATTTCTATCCCATGAATGGAGATGCCCCAGTGGCCACCAGATGGGGCTCCTGTGAGAAAGAGTCCCCGAGCCGGCTGGAATGGGCTTATGTGCCCAGTCCTGCATCCAAATACTCTTGATGGAACTGGGGCATCCCCAATCCTCCCACTCCAGGACCAGCCCTCTCCACCATGAGAAGTGAAGCCCAGGCATTGCTTGGAAGCATGAGGCACCCATGGTCTGAGGAATGGGAGAAGGGCTCTTAGGATAAAGATTATCCCTCCGTCCTTTCCTAGGTTCTTAAACGCTTTTCCTAGCAATCAGTTCCCAAAAGCATACAAAGTATTTTGTAATCCTTCAGTTGCCTTTAACCTTAAAACGAGATGTGGAAACTGTTCGAAGAAAAAAGACCTTTAAATGGCAGCACCTGCACTGGTTCATTAAGGATGTGAACTGCATTATTTTCTGTGATTTCACAGTACTTCTCATAGCTGCCCACATAACATTTGTTCAAACCACACTCTAGATGGCAATCAAAGAAAATCAATTGCGTTTTCTCAGAGTTTCTCCAAACTCTGCCATGTGGGGGCTGGAGAAACCACAGAGGAACACATTTGAGCAGGATGCTTCTAGACTGATGGCGCCTGACAGGTGCTGCTTTACAGGAATTCTGCAGTTGCTTTGTCTTCCCTTCTTAATGGAAGGGGGGGGAAAGATGCATGAGAGGATTACAAATGTGAAATAATTTCCATGAATTGGATTATTCTACAAAGTTCTACTGAGCATCATGAGAGGTGAAAAAGAAGCATCAAAAGTCTTGGTGGCTTTGAGGAAGGAGCTGCTCAAAGTAAGTAGATAGGTCAAGGCTACATCTCTGCATTGCAAGGCGCTTCCTTGAAGCTATCCTGAGCCGGGCATCACTGGACCACAGCTCTCCCCCTTCGAGGTGCAAGATGCAAGGCAGTTGCAGCTACAGATAACTTGGAAAAGGAAGTTTAAGGCCCCAGTGAAACGCTCAAGTGGAATTCAGTGCAAGGAAGAGCAGAGAAGATGCCAATCAACACGTCAATGACTTGCCATGCAGAGTGTTAATAGGAAAGGAGACTTGAGGGGTCTGCGTTGCCTTTGCCTAGATCAGGGGTGTCAAACTGCCGGCCCCCGGGGCGGTTTCATCATACCAAAGCTGCGCCAACCCCATTGCCAGCAATGCACAGTCGCGATACATTGCAACACGTCACGTGACATGGCGAGTTTGACACCCGGGGCCTAGATGATAAGAGTCTTCATCACAAGATGAACTGTATCCTGCAAGAACTTTTTTCAAAAGCTATTTGGCCAAAACATGACAATCTTGATGAGGGGATACTTGAACAGTATCTCTGTAGTTCTGTGCTTAATTTTAGGCATATTACTTAAAATGAATAATTTTCTGCTTTTGCTGAATTTCAGTGAACTGGGGACTAAGACTAGGTAATCAGCTTCAGCATCTTTTGCCACTGCATCCCCCGGCTGCCCCTCCCCTCCCTGTTATCTCCTTTCATGCAAGCAACACTGACTATTAGGATGGGTCCTTGGTGCTCTGTGAGAGCAAGGATGAGGCCAACTCCTCTGATCACGATGTTTCCCTTCTTCTGTGCCCAGGATGCCACGTTCCATAAAGCCTCTCCTCTTCCTCCCTTACATGGCCAGCATCTTCTTAACTGATAAGCAAAAGGAGCTTTAGAAAGGTAGGAAAATTCCAAAGCTCATGCTGTATTGATACAATGAAAGCAACCCACTTCCCTCAAGGCTGCTGAGTGGGTGTAGATGCCTGTCTTTATTCCAATGTCTTGTGTTTAGTTGACCTTCAGCAATGCAATTCAGAAGCCTCATAATAGCAGACACTATGGAAGCCCACAGATGAATGAGTCAAGCAGATGCTGTTGCTAACAGCACCTCTAGAGCTTATTCAGTTGCCCCATGACCAAAGCATACCACAAACACTGTCTGCCCCTCTCCAGAGATGATGAAAGCAATTGCTGAACAGACAGAAGCAAGTCACCCACCTAACCACAGTAGTCATTCCCAAGACCTTTGGTGGTTCCCTTCTGTTGATCACAAAACCATGCTTGCCAACACCTGTGATTTCAGGTTTCCAGGTGAGGACCTATGATGGGTTAAATGTGCTTGTGAGGCAACACTACAGCAAAGATCAACAGCCAGGCAACAACTTTTGACCCATGACATTCTCTCCGGGGATGTAGAGATTGAGAGATTGCCCACTGTGTTCTGGACAGCTGCTCCTCATGAGACTCTGGGAATCCAGTTCCTCCTGGGGTCTGTGGGTTGGCATCTTAGGAGCTGAGGGATTATCATCACACTCAAAACCACTGTGCAGCCTTTATGAACGCCAGATATGCAAAAGCCTCATTTTCTTAAATACTTTTGGATACAATTAATTTCAATTTAAGAGAGATCTTACAAAGTAGGAAAGACTAAAGACTTAGTGAATTGCTTTTGTTTTTGGAATCAAGAGGGGAAAATACTATATTAAAGGATTTTGACTTAAAAAGCAAAAAGCTTAACAAGATTGAGATTTGAAGAGGCAATAATTTTAGAAAACAGAATAACATTCTTTAAGTTGAAAACCACTGCCAGGTTTTATCTTTATCCACTTTCCCCTTGATCCTTTGTAGAAATTGACCATGTAATGCCAGCCGTCAGTTCTTGTTTTCATTATATTATTTCAATATTCATGTTTTGTTTCTTGCACATTCAGTAAGTTCCAATTATATTTATTCTTGGCAATCTTTTATGTAATCAGCTGTGCATGCTTTTCTTCTTCAGCAGTTTGACTCGAAGTAAACCTCTGCCTGTTTTTGTGGGGCAGATATAATCAATCACTATCATGACAGAGATGTAATGCATAGTGAATAGTAACTACCTTTCTTGCTTTTTGGTCCAAACTGCCCATTTGAGCTTGTTTCCAGTTAATAATTCCAGCAGTATATTGTATCCCAGGTATTGACTGGCGTGGTGGCCTAGTGGTGAAGACGCTCACCTCCCACTAGGAAGGTTGAGAGTTCAATCCTAGGCAGCAGCAGATGTTTCTAAGACACAAAGAGAAAATATCTGCTGCGAACTTGGCATAGGCATCAGGAAGGGCATCTGGCCAGTAAACCCTCAGCTCCATCCAGTCGCCCAGACTCTGTCCCAAATTAAGGGATTACTGGGTCATAAAAAGGAGGTTTTTATTGTATCACAGGCATTTGATAAAGTAGATCACAACCTACTACTTGACAAGATAGAAAAATGTGGGGTAGACAGCATCACCACCAGATGGATCCGTAGCTGGCTGACCGGCCGTACTCAGCGAGTGGTCCTCAATGGAACCGCATCTACATGGAGGGAAGTGTGTAGTGGGGTGCCCCAAGGCTCTGTTCTGGGCCCAGTGCTCTTCAACATCTTCATCAACGATTTGGACGAGGGGATAGATGGGGAACTCATCAAATTTGCAGACGACAACAAGCTGGCAGGAATAGCCAACACTCCAGAAGACAGGCTTAAGATACAGAAGGATCTGGACAGACTTGAACACTGGGCACTATCTAACAAAATGAAATTCAATGGTGAAAAAAGCAAGGTTCTTCATTTAGGCAAGAAAAACCAAATGCACAAGTACAGCATAGGTGGCACCTTGCTCAATAGTAGTAACTGTGAGAGGGACCTCGGAGTCCTAGTGGACAATCACCTAAATAGGAGCCAGCCGTGTGCTGCAGCTGCCAAAAAGGTCAACACAGGGCTAGGCTGCATTAACAGAGGGATAGAATCAAGATCACGTGAAGTATTAATACCACTTTACAATGCCTTGGTAAGGCCACACTTGGAATACTCCATCCAGTTTTGGTCACCACGATGTAAAAAAGATGTTGAGACTCTAGAAAGAGTACAAAGAAGAGCAACAAAGATGATTAGGAGATTGGAGGCTAAAACATATAAGGAACGGTTGCTGAAATTGGGTACGTCTAATTTAAGAGAAGGACGAGGGGGGACATGATAGCAGTGTTCCAATATCTCAGGGGCTGCCACAAAGAAGAGGGAGTCAAGCTATTCTCCAAAGTGCCTGAAGGCAGGACAAGAAGCAACGGATGGAAACTAATCAACCTAGAACTAAGGAGAAACTTCCTGACAGTTAGAACAATTAACCAGTGGAACAACCTGCCTCCAGAAGTGGTGAATGCTCCAACACTGGAAGTTTTTAAGAAGAGACTGGACAGCCATTTGTCTGAAATGGTATAGGGTTACCTGCCTGAGCAGGGGGTTGGACTAGATGACTTTCAAGGTCCCTTCCAACATCATCATCATCATTATTATCATCATCATTATCACCATCATCATTATTATTATTAAAACATCCTAATAACCCGAGCTTAAAATTAGCATATTTTATTTTAGCAGAATGGTTAAAGATATCCTGGTTAATGACCGCAACAAAATAAGTAATGCCTCACATTTACAATATGCCCACATCAATTCAAGGTTTTTGCAGCAACGCCAGACATGCCCCATAGTGACTCATACTGCCCCCTGATCGTGTCAAACAGTTTGTTGGGGAGCAGCCAGCCTCCCCTTCCCCTGGGCTCATCCTCCGAACCACAGCCAGTTCCAGGGAGCGATCCAACTGTCAGAAGCAGCCAAGGGTCCCCCGGGCCCTTTTCACAGGCACCCCTGATGCTGATTCCGATGTTTCAGGATTTCTGTGGGTGTGAGGTGCAGGCTCTCCTGGCAGACGGCACAGTGGTAGAATTGCTGCAGGGCAGAGGGGCCAAAGGCAGCCACTGCTGCGCCCCCTCTGGGCCCTGGGGGAGTAGAGAAGGCACAATGAGAGGGACCCCAGTGCTCCAGCTCTGAAGATGAGCTCTTGCCCCTCTCCTTCCCAAAACCCAGGACAGCCCGCTGAAAATGCAGCTCCGAAAGGACTTGCCTTCAAGACCGGGCTCCCTGTCCTGAGGGTCAGGAGACTGGCAGGCCTCTTCATGGGCCATACGCTCCAGAGGAGTGAAGGGCATGTAGAGGCCGCATCGTGGGCAAGACCAAAAGCTGCGCAGACAGTCACTGTACAGATCTCCCTCATCCTGTGGGGGCATAAGGAGAAAGTACACAAGGCCGGTGGGCTGCTGCCCCCTCCCACAGCCAGGAATGAGAAACATCCCCAAACCCAGGAATTCTTCCTTCACCGCATCCCTTCCTGGACTCACTGCCAGACAATTAAATGTCAAGAAGTCGCCAATCCTGTAGCCACCTTTCACCTCGTGGGGCACCAGCTGCACCCCCTGGAAGAAGCTGGGCAGCCCTTCAGCCTCCTTAGGTGCCATCTGAGGGCCTCCATACAGGTGCTGCTGCTCCAGAGGTGTCATTCGTCGGAGGCTGTACTGGACCTAGAGGCACATCCAGAGATGCTCAGAGCAGCATCAGAGAGGCCAAGCCCCTGCTCCTGACTGGCAGGGAGGTTCCTCCTCCACCCCTTAACCCAGCAGCCACAACCCCTCCCCAGACAACCGCCTACCAGGCTTGGCCAGCCTCCGCCTTTCTCCCCATGGCATAGCCACGCACCTCTGTCTTCAGGAAGCTCGACAGTTCATGTGTGAGTTGGCGCACCTCTGGGACGCTGGGTGGTGCCTCTGCCTCTTCCTCCCCCCCAGCCGGGTCTGCCAATCTTTCCAGACACCTGTCCAGCACTTTGTCCCAAGAGGCCCGGAGGCGCAGGGCAGTGTCGAGCATCTGCACAGCCGTCTCTGCCACGGGGACTTGGAGCTCAAGCCAGGAGTCAGCCACAATGCGTGTGCAGTGGGCGTTGGTGTCAAGAGAGTGAGCCAAAAGTAGCAACACCTGGGGAGGAAAGCAGCTGTTTCAGGAGGGAGAAAACCCAAAGGGCAGAGCAAGACACACAGTCTGCCAGAGCTCACTCACCTGCAGTGCCGGCAGGCGGAGGCAATTCACCAGGTAGGGCTTGTGGGTCTCCAGCAGTGAGACGAAGGACAGGATTTGGGGGGGACTGGTCATCCTCTCCTTGGCATCTGTGGGCAGGAAGGCCATGCCCTCAGGTTCCTCCAAAAGCCCATCCTTCCTAAGCTCCAGAATAGTCTTACTCTCGGCTTTGGGCCAGACTAGCTCGCCCTTTATTGCCCTCCAGCTGAACCAGCCACGAAGGGAGAGGAAAGCCTGTTTGCCGCTTCTTGCAACGCTCCTCTTCTTGGATGCTTCAGTGCAACCTGTACCTGACCCAGGACGGCCAACTGCCCCGCAGGGAGGCTGACCCAGGGGGCAAGGGGCAAGGTCAACACAGGTGCAGAAGAAAGCCAGACCCAAAGGTCTCTTATGCCTTATTTTTAATTGGGATGACATAATAAATCTCCCACAATACAAACAGGAATTGTCAATTGTGAATTGCGTTGACAGGAGGAGTTGCTAGTTCTAAAAAATGTTATCTAAGGTTTTCCTACATTTCAAATCTGGTTGACTTGTTTTTTCTTTCCCCAGTCCACTCAGCCAACCCATTTCAAGAAGTCACTCTGTCATTCAAACTGTTGCAGAGGAACGGACCATTAAATCTGATTATAAGATTTATAAATAAGCAGCAACAGAAGCTTCAGATGGATAAGGCTCATTTTCCTCCCATATTTCCTCTTTTCCAGTGAAATCACGCGAAGTATTAGTACTGCTTTATAAAACCATAGTAAGACCATGTTGTGGAAAAACCCACGACAAGACAAGAGACAGCAACACAAGGACAATAATTCTTACTTTAGGATTCAGAGGTTTAATTTGCTAATAATTTGGAACAAACATAATAACATGGCACTCATGACTTAAATCAATAACCCATTGCAATGAGGACCAAATGGCAATAGCAGATTCAAATAGAACAGCTATAAACCAATGGCCCCGAATCAGACTTAAGCCAACATTTTTATACTTTCCTTTTACTGACCACCCACTCATAATTCTTCCTTGCAATGACAGTTCCCATCTGAAACTTCTACGCATCTGCTACTTGCACTTCCCCTTTTCCCACGGGTAAAATACGTATATTCCAAATATATATATAGAATTACATACATTGCATTTTATATTGCACAAGAGCTCAGCAGATTACAAATAGCACATTCTTATTGTGAAATTACATAAAGTTCAAGTTAAAGCATTAAATCATTAATATGGAACCTATTCTATGTTTATTCATTCCTATCCTATGAAATGAGAAGGGGCAACATTTCTTGTTTCCCACAACCACATCTGGAATACTGCAGCCAATTTTGGTCACCATATCACAAAAAAGATGTTGAGAGTTTGGAAAAAATTCAGAGAAGAGCAACTAAGATGATCAAAGGCCTGGAGACTAAAACATACGAAGAACGGCTGCGGGACTTGGGTTTGGCTAAAGAAAAGAAGAAATGGGGGAGACATGATAGCAGTTTCCAGTATTTGAGGGGCTGCCACAAAGAAGAGGGGGTCACGTTATTCACCAGAGCACCAGAGGGCAGGACAAGAAACAATGGTTGGAAACTGACCAAAGAGAGAAGCAACCTGGAATTAAGGAGAAACTTCCTGACAGTAAGAACCATCAACCAGTGGAACAGAAGTTGCCTTCAGAAATCGTGGGTGCTCCATCACTGGAGATTTTTTTAAAAAGGCTAGACAGTCACTTGTCTATGATGGTATAGGTTCTCCTGCTTGAGCAGGGGGCTGGACTAGAAGACCTCCAAGGTCCCTTCCAGCTCTGCTCTATTTCTATTATTTCTATTTCTATTCTAATTCTTATTCTATTCTATTCACTCCTCCTGCCAAATAATCCTGAAATGGAAACCTGGGTTTTCCTTCCTCTTCCCACACCGTCATAACTTTATTTCACAGCCAGGCTGGAAACATGATTTCCAGCACAGAAAACCTTGAAACAATACCAGAAAAACTAGAAAGCCGGAAAAAAGCTCCCGACTCTCTCAGGTGGCCAAGATCTCTCTCGAGGCCACCGGGAGTGGAGATTCTCCTGGGGCTGAAGGAATTCCTCCTTACCTGGGTCCCTGCCAGCCTTGGAGTCTGAATGCAGCAGCTCTGGGGCATCCGCAAAAACACTGGTCGGGTGCAGGACAAGGCCGGCTTTCTCTCTCGTGTGGAAGATCTGGAGAGCACACAAGAATGGCTTCATGGGGTCTTTTAACGGTTTATATATTGTATTCTTTTGTTTTGTGCTTAACAGCTGGAAGCCACCCAGATCACGTGCAGGTGAGATAGGTGGCTATGCAGACTGAAGCAATAAATAAATAACCACCAACCTCTTGAAAGCCTGGGAAGACCTTCCCCCTGCCATGCCGGGCCTGACTCCAGCCCCCTTTGACCCTCAGTCCGATAGAGTGGCCAGTAGGGACACTTGCCTGTTCCGAATCCTTGCGGCTCTCGTTGAAGGGGTCAGGGACAGCCAGTTGAGGATAAAGGCCCTGGGCCAGCGCCAGCTGCAGCAGAGACAGCTGGCTAGCTGAGAGCCCATGGGCTTCACTGGCAGCTGCTTGCAGCTCCTCCATATCGTGCCGCAGCTGGAAATTCACATCCTGCGAGGCGACAGCAACACAACCAGCCGCCTGCAGACCCAGACAGACTGACCCAGACATGCACCCCCTCTCCCTTCCAGCCTGGAGCCCTGGTGTCCGTAGGAAAGACCTCACCCCCAAAGTGCTTCAGGGGGGCCCTCCAGAAGGCCCGGGCCCAAAGCCCCCAATCCATCCTCCCCATGTTGCAAACATCCTCCTGTGGATGAGGCAGGAAGCCTCCCTGTGCTTCCCAAAGGGACCGGGGCCATGGCGTCAGCCCTTTCGGGGGCCGACGCACCACGGCCTGCCTGAGAGTGCCAGCGGCTGCCATGGAAGCGGCCACTGAAAACAGGGCGAGGGAGAAGGGGCCGCAGCGTCCCTAGAGAAAGCGCCAGTATTTGGTGGACGTGCAAAAAGCGGGAAAGTTCTGGATTCAAGTCCAAGCCCCGATTCAGTTTAGGAACTGATGAAGGAGTTCTTCTTTTGGAACTCAGAGACTAACAGTGGAACTTGGCTCTCCGCAGCGAGGTCCTTGCATGCACCGGTGGAAAGATTGGGCATCCCAAGCAATGCAATGCTGTGGGGCCTTCCCAGCCAATGGGGGAAGTTGGATTCACTTAATAACCATGTGATTTATTCAACAACTGTGGCAAAAAAGATCATAAAATCAGGCACGACTCGCTTAACAACCGCGTTGCTCAGCAATGGAAATTCTAGTCCCAATTGTGGCCATTAAGTCCGCTAGTCGCTGCTGCCTATAGGGGCGCTGCTCACCCGTTTCAGTGCCAAAGCCAGCGCCATCATCCGATGGCCAGCATGACGTGGTGGAGTGCTGTGACCTTCCCACTAAAGTGGCACCTATTTATCTACCCGCATTTGCCTTCTTTCGTGCTCCTGCTGGCTGGGCAGGAGCTGGAGCGACTGACGGGAGCTCATCCCTTCGTGTGGCCCTTAGGTCTTGAACCTGGGCTGCCAGCTCTCCAGCTGACTAGCCCAGCGTCTCAACCACTGAGCCATCCTGCCGCCCCTGTAACCACAGAGTGAGTGGTAAGTTTATAACTGTACGCATAATTGCTATGAAGATCAGAAATTACCTCTCTGTATGTTTTTTTTCTTTCTTGATTTTTGGCTTTCTCTTTGATCTCTTTCTTTTTCTTCTCTTCTTCTTTGTATTAGTTTGTATTAGTTACCTTCCTTTCTAAAAACCTTTAAGTGTGTGTGTGTGTGTGTGTGTGTGTGTGTGTGTGTGTTCACGAAAGTAAGACCTACCCCGAAAATAAACCCTAGCTTGATTTTTGGGGATGGGTCTAAGACTTACTCCCAAAATAACCCCTAGTTTTTAGGCGAGGCACATGCCTAAAAATCAAGCTAGGGTGGGCATGGGGGTGGGTGGGGTGGAGCTGCCCCATGTGGCCCTTACCCACTTACCATTGCAGTCTGCCTCTCCTCACCAGCCCATTTCTCCTGCAGCATTTCCCGGCCTGCATTTCACAGTCAGAGGCCTTTCTGTAAGGCCTCTGCAGCCGGCTACAGAGGCCTTCTGGAAAGGCCTCTGACTGCGAAATGCAGGTCGGAGCTCCATTCTCAGCTGCAGAATGAAGCTGCTCCTTCGGCCGCAAAAGAAGGGGGATGGCTGGGCAGGGCTGTCAGTGCCGCCACGGCAAGGTGAGTGGAAAAGACACTCCCCAAAAGACAGAGAGAGGCAGAGAGAAAGAGAGAGATGCTAAAGAGAAACTGCAAGTCAGCTGACCCCTACTCTCACTCGTCCCACCTGGATGTCTGGGCAGGAACTGCCCTTCTCCTCTTCCCCAGATAAACCGGACCCTCCTCCTTCCTGCTGGTCCTCCTCCTCCTCCTGCAGCCGCAATAGCTTCCGCCGGCGCCCGCCCCTTTGCTCATGCTCCCGCTTTAGTCTGCGCAGCTCTTGATGTTCCCGCCGCCGCCTCTGTCGGGCGTAGGTGGTGCAAGGCTGAGTAGGAGGGCCCAGCAGCTGGTGGTCTCGCAGCAATTCCTGGCAGAGCAACGGAAAGGAAAGGATAGCCCACCCTTGCTCAAGGCTAGGGAAGCCCCTTCCAGCCCACCTTCTCTTCTCTCCACAAATGGTGCCCTTGTGAGCGAGACAAAGAACAGCCCGACTCTTCCACATCACCACCACCAACACACCGGGAGCTTCCTACCACCAGGCGCCCAGCTTCGTTTGCCTAGCGGCCCTCCTCACTCCCGGCCCTTCTGAATTGACACCAACCTGAAATTGGCGCCGCAGATTGGCTGCCTCGTAGAGCCGATGCTCCTCCAGGCCCCGACGCCGGCACCACCGCTGGGATCCTCGACGATTGGCCGCTTTCTCCTGCCAGCCAGACATAAGAGAAGCCCAGTTCGCATGTCTCAGAGGGAAAGCAAGGCCCAGCTCCGTACCCCAAGTAAAGGGCACACGTGCCAACAAGACCTTCCTGTCCCCTTGCCTGGAGCAGGAATGGAGCTTGGCTGGAAAGATGCCGCCTCAAATGGGGAGTCAGTATCCAGTGAGCCGAGCACCCTCCTTCCGAGAGAGCCGAAAGAGCAAAGGGGAAGGCTCAGGGAACCCAGAGAAAACACCTTGCACAAGGGCCCTGGGCTGGAAAAGGACCCTGCAGGGAGAGCCTCCTGCCTGGCAGTCCTCTGGCTCTCGAGGAAGATGTAGTCCAGGAAGGGAAGGATCGGCAGGCCGAGCTCTTCATGCTGCATCTGTGGCATTTTCTGTGCCCTGCCTACCTGGACCCAGGCGTTGAAGATGTTCAGAAGGGTCAGGGGGTCTCCCAGTAGGCTCCTCAGGCTTCGCCGGGCCGCCAGGCAGTCCAGGCTGCTGCGCCCACCGGCCCTGTTCAGGAAGGGAGAGGGCACACTGAGGACAGCGGCAATGGTGAGCGTCGGGGCAGCCAGATCCAGGAGCGTCCCCAACACCAGCATCTTCCCTGCAGAGTAAGAGATCACATGAGGCAGCAGGCAGGGCCCATCCAGGCAGCCACTCTTGCCGGCCACAACTTCCAGCTGCCTTCCTCTGCGTGGGGGGGGGCAGGAAGGCCCCCCCTCAGGCTTTCCAACAAAGTTCAGCACAATGCCCACCCCACAGAATTCAAGGTGATCCCTGCATGGAGCTGTCAGTTCCAGGAAGACACATCGGGCAGATTGTGAGATGACGAGGAGTCTGGAAGCAGCCCAGGAAACTGCATGCTGCACCCCTCAAGTGGCCAGAAGGAGGAGAAGCCTTCATCCGCGGGGATACCAGCTGCACCCATCACTCACCAATCACCACATCAACTGGCAGCTGAGCCAGGAGAGTCCCAATGGGCGTCAGGGCCTCTGCTGAGTCCAGGGCACCCTGATGCTTTAGGTAGCCCAGGGCTGCCTCCAGGCTGGCCTGAGGGGGCGGCTCCAGGAAAGGGAACGCTCGGGGATCGCCTAGGCCCATACTCTTCATCTGGGAACAGAGGCAGAACAAGGGTGGCTTCATTTCAGCAAGCAAGTCAGTGGTGACCCCAAAAGAGCCAGACTCTCCTGCTCTTCTTGGGCCCAAACTCGTCTCTGCTGCTCTCCTGCCTGTCCTTCCCACCTGCAAAGGGATGGGGGGAGTTTCTTCTTAAGGCCAGGGGAAGACTGGCAAATCCATAGGTTTGTTAAAGAAGACCCAGAGGGACCAGACAGGCACTTGGAACACATTTCTGTGGCCCAGAACTAGGCCAACTGGACTCGGGTCTCCAGAGCCCAGACAAGAAACAGCTTTTCTCTTCAACTACTGTCTATCCACACACCTACCCCACCCCATCCCCATTCTAGGAGTGGAACAGGGGGCCTCTCACAAAGCAGGTTCCCACCCTGAACAAGAGGGAGGTGGTGGTGGTTCTTCTCTGAAGACCTCCGCTTCCCCAGCAATGGGGAGCAGTGGGGCAGTTGGGCATCAGCCAGCACTCTGTATCGGGATGCCAAACCCTCCCTGAGCATTATAGATCCACACAGCTTGCAGCCCTTCCCTTTGAGCAGTTACTGGGCAGTTTGGGGCATCTGGAGGAAGCAGCAGTCTTCCTCGTGACTCCCCCAGCACACAGCCTTGAATCGCAATCGCCATGGAGCAAGCCTACCTGTAAAATCAGGGCATCCAGTGCCACCCGCTGGATCTCTGGCACTGGATAAGGGGCAAAATTGTCATAGTCTGATTCAGCATAGAGGCGGTAGCAGACTCCGGGCCCAGTCCGGCCTGCCCGGCCCTTGCGTTGCTCAGCACTGGCTCGGCTGATCCAGAACTCCTGGAGGCGATGTAGCTTGGCCTTGGAGTCATAGCTCAGCTCTTTCACCTTTCCTAAAAAGAAGTGGGGGGGGGGGGACCATGAGGAAAAGAGATACACAAAACTTTGGAGATATCAAAGCAGGTGTCCCAAGAATGGGGTTGGGACATCAGCAGCAAAGCCCAGAGCTCAATCAAAGGAGGGAAATCCCAGCATAGTCTTCTTTTGGCTTCTAACGGTCATCACCAGACAGGCCGCTCAGTGAGATGAGCCCTACCCTCGGATCTGNAACCTGTACCTGACCCAGGACGGCCAACTGCCCCGCAGGGAGGCTGACCCAGGGGGCAAGGGGCAAGGTCAACACAGGTGCAGAAGAAAGCCAGACCCAAAGGTCTCTTATGCCTTATTTTTAATTGGGATGACATAATAAATCTCCCACAATACAAACAGGAATTGTCAATTGTGAATTGCGTTGACAGGAGGAGTTGTTAGTTCTAAAAAATGTTATCTAAGGTTTTCCTACATTTCAAATCTGGTTGACTTGTTTTTTCTTTCCCCAGTCCACTCAGCCAACCCATTTCAAGAAGTCACTCTGTCATTCAAACTGTTGCAGAGGGACGGACCATTAAATCTGATTATAAGATTTATAAATAAGCAGCAACAGAAGCTTCAGATGGATAAGGCTCATTTTCCTCCCATATTTCCTCTTTTCCAGTGAAATCACGCGAAGTATTAGTATTGCTTTATAAAACCATAGTAAGACCATGTTGTGGAAAAACCCAGGACAAGACAAGAGACAGCAACACAAGGACAATAATTCTTACTTTAGGATTCAGAGGTTTAATTTGCTAATAATTTGGAACAAACATAATAACATGGCACTCATGACTTAAATCAATAACCCATTGCAATGAGGACCAAATGGCAATAGCAGATTCAAATAGAACAGCTATAAACCAATGGCCCCGAATCAGACTTAAGCCAACATTTTTATACTTTCCTTTTACTGATCACCCACTCATAATTCTTCCTTGCAATGACAGTTCCCATCTGAAACTTCTACGCATCTGCTATTTGCACTTCCCCTTTTCCCACGGGTAAAATACGTATATTCCAAATATATATATAGAATTACATACATTGCATTTTATATTGCACAGAGCTCAGCAGATTACAAATAGCACATTCTTATTGTGAAATTACATAAAGTTCAAGTTAAAGCAACGGGTGGAAACTAATCAAGGAGAGAAGCAATCTAGAACTAAGGAGAAACTTCCTGACAGTGAGAACAATTAACCAGTGGAACAACCTGCCTCCAGAAGCGGTGAATGCTCCAACACTGGAAGTTTTTAAGAAGAGACTGGACAGCCATTTGTCCGAAATGGTATAGGGTTTCCTGCCTGAGCAGGGGGTTGG